TTTCTTTCTTTCTTTCTTTCTTTCTTTCTTTCTTTCTTTCTTTCTTTCTTTCTTTCTTTCTTTCTTTCTTTCTTTTTCTTTTTTTTTTTTTTTAATTTTTCCTGTAGAAGCAATTAGGGATTCTGGGGCCCAGGAGTCCACAACTTGCAGCAGGGCTTTTCAGTCCAAAATTTTGCAATTTTACAATGCCCTGCAGACTTGTTTCCCCTCTTAGTTCATGCACAATGGTCAGAAACAGCTGAGGTGTTTGGTAAAGGCAGCAGCATGCAAGGGGAAGGTTTTAAAAATCTCGCTTGTGCAGTTTTTCATGCCTTCATTTCATTTTGACAGCTGCTGGGCTACAAAAGGATGGTAGGGAGCAAGATGGAACAATCTCAGCACATAGAAGAGATTTGTCAAATAATAAATAACGTTATTAAGGCTGTCAGAAGGACCATTTTGGAATTATTCATGTTTCCCAGCCACTAGCACTTTGGGAAATAAACCATAGGAAGGCAAGAGCAACAACTTGTTTTTTCGGTAGGAATTAGTCCGTTGCTGCTTGTCTCAATCAACCACCTTCAGAGAGATTTTTATTAGCAAATTTCTGCCCTTCTTTCTTTCTATCTTTGGTCACTCTTTAACTGTAGAGTCCACTTGATTTGAGTTTTGTTTTATGGGCTTTTAAACTGAAAAATTTTCACTCTTGTGTCTTTGAAAATACATACACGGGATTTCTGGGATGCACAACATGAAAGTGAGAGCAGTGTTCTTGATAGGCTGTAGTAATTACTGGATGCTGGAGTAACCTTCAAAACATCCTTCAGCTGGACCAGCAAGGAAAGCAAACTATTCTTAAACCAATCAGCATTTGTAAATAGGACGCCTGCACTTGGTTCCTTAAATAAATAAATAAATAAATGCTCTCTTATATTTATTTTAAGAACTATTCTCACTATAGAGCTCTTTCTTAAAAGCTATAAGCTAAGTAAGGAAAAAGCTAATGTTCTTAAGAAAACAAAACAAAACAAAACAAAACAAAACAAAAACAAAACAAAAAAAAAAAGAAAAAAAAAAAAAACAGGAACCGGGCAGTACAAATTCTACATCTGTGCTCAAATTCCAGAGTTAAAAGGATTGGTAAATTTCAGAGAGAACTGTTAGTCCTCTGTTTTTGGAAGTTAGACGGCTTATTGGGGGACGTCTTATGGATTTAGGGTTTTCACTTCAAGTTACTCTTTTTCATGTGTCTTTTTCTAAGGTTTCTGGGATTTTCCAGTACCTTCTGAGAAAGTGCTGCCTCAGCCACCCTCCTGGCCTCCTGAGCTGGGAATCATGAAGCAAATGTAGAGAGATGCACCTTCAAAAGTTGACTTTTGCATTTTGTGCTAGGGAAAGTTGCAAGGTAAAAATCTATAGGCTTCACTGAGATGTCAGAAATGATGATTGCACGTAGTGGGATGCAGAGAACAAGATCACCAGGGGATTTTTCTGATGCAAGCAGTGGAGTGAGCTACAGAGGGCAGTGGGTTGCCCTTGCTGGTCATGTGCTGGCCATTTACACCCTAAATGAAACATGCAAGCATTAGATACACAAAGACGACATTTTTTTTTTTCACTAACCCAAAACTGAGAGGAGAAAGGTGGATTTCCTATGCAGTGTGAGTCGTAGCAATTTGCTTGCTCATCTCACAAGTGCTGCTGATAGTATGATGAATACTTCTTTTTTTCCACTGTATTTTGCTGCTAAGTGGGAAGAAGTCTTTTAAAAACAGAAGGGAGGTCAAAATGATTTTTATCCTTGAGATGAGGCAGTCTTCCCAAGCATAGCTTTAGACTAACCCACATTATTTGTCTAATTACCACTTAGAAAAATTAGCTAATCATAAAAAGAGGAAGAACGAATCTAAAAAAGATTCAGATTTAGATTTTATTTATTCCTTCCATAGGCTAACAGCAAGAAGAACTAAAGGTGGAAGGTTGTCTGCTCAGTGTTGAATATAAAAATGTAGAAGTCCCAGTCAGTGGTCAAGAAATTGTGAATCCGTGGACTGCTGTATTCTTGAAATTAGTCATAAGGAGTGTGATATACATTGGTAGCAGTCTAAGAGTAATGCTTAGTTTTGAGTCCTTTATTAATAAGTTTATTGTAATTTCTTTGCTCAGCAGCAGCTCTGTATCAAGTGCTGCCCAAACTTCAGCATTCATCTTGGCACCTCGCATCTGGAGTTAAACTCATAGAAGCCTTTAGCATTGTTGTATCTTTTTTCTTATTCTTTTTTTCTTTTGATGCTCTTTGTGCATTCTGTTTGTGTACATGTTTTTGTAGTGTAAGATATGAAATTTTATATTTTTTCATAAAAATAAAAATGTCTGAAACCAGTTGCAACTGACTGTGGGTCATCCCCACTGCCAGTGCCCTGGGTCCATGTGTGAGCTTTCCGTGCTGCATTGGCTTTCCACTTGTGCGGGCCTGGCGTGCCTCGTGGCTCAGTCGCTTTCAAAACGGGCTTCCTGCCTTCACCCTTCCCAGGGAAAAGGAGAGCACGTTCAGGCTGTCAGCCTGGGCGTGAGTTCGCACATTTGGCCATCCTTCCCTTATGCCCTCTAAACTAGGCCATGCAGCTACTTGTGCCATCAGGGTGGAGGGGAGTTCCAGGAGATGGGTAGCAGGGACTGACCCCAGCTCGCCAGTGCCAGAAGAGAAGGCTTCATTATTCCTGTCCAATCTCTCCATCTAACTCTGCTTTGATTTTGAGGGAATCTGCTTTCTACTTTGTTTTGTAAGGCAGAGCAACCATGTCAGGGGGCTGATGTCTTGCAGTCACTTAATAGCACAGTGTCTCCCATGCTCCCTTAGGCATTAAAAGTTTGTCTGTTTTTTTCCCTCCTGAGACCTGATTTGTCTGAATTTTGGATGGGGGAACCTTATCATATCATGGATGGGGGAATCCTATCATCTCATGTTCCTGGCACTTGTGGCTAAGCAAACCTGAGTGACAGGCAAGTCTTATATTCCTGGAGAGGTGGGAAGGGGGTGCTTAATAGCCATGACAGATAGGGAGTATCAGGTACCCATGGGCTGTAAAAAAAAAGAAGGCCAACACCAACAAAGAAGGAGCCATCAGATGCTGATTTTACCATCCTACTCAAAAACCCTGAAAGATAACAGAACAGTGCTTGTTCTCTATGTTTATGGCCTGGAAAGATGAGGAAGCATGGGAGGGCAGAAGAATAGTTTTTTGTATGTAGAAGGAAACAAGGTCAACTTGATTAGCAGAGCGATGGTGTCAGCAACCTCTCCTCATGGACATTCCAGGCCTGAAGCATTATTGTCTTATTTAGCTCTTGCTTTACCTACTGCTTAATCAGGACAGCAACAGACTGCAAAATGCTAAGAGAGGGCAGTAAGGATGGGGAAAACTCTTAATTTAAATTCACTAAGATAAGACTTATTGGCTCTCCACAACTTTTCACCAAGATCTGCCTAGAAAGGCTCTTAATTCCCACTGCTGTAGAAATAGGGATGCCCCCTCATTAATACATAACAGCATTTTAGCACTGAACTCTTCAGGATACTCAAGGACGTGAATTGGGACCAGACGCTGCTGTCACAGAGCACCTTTGGAGTAGCAAAGATGAAAGCTGGCTAAAAAGCCCATACATAAGCCTCAGTTTTAAGTGAGTACTAAAACAATGAA